CTTGCGCAGAACGTGGCCATTTCTGCAGCCAGTATGCACGTTTGCTGGGTGAGGCGGTTTTGCTGAAGGGCCTTGACGTCCTTACCCCATGGAAAGCCCCCTCTGCTTGTCCAGCATAGCTAGCAACCTCAAGGAGTTGACCTTGGGTCAAAAATGATAGTAACATCCCATCTCACACTCCCCCAGGCAGCATCCATGTACCGTGTGGAGGATCTAACCAGGGGGACCCCTAATACAACAACATTAAGGGCCTGGCTCTGACTAAGCAGAACCAGAGAGGCCGTGTTGACCACAAGGAGTGGCGGCCAGGGCCAGGGTCAGGGAGGTGTGGGAAGGGGGCTCTGCCCTGGGGTTCTTGCAAGACTGGAGGAAGGCAACAATGGGAAGGCACATCATCCGTGATGAGGGGCTGTCTTCTGTGTCACCTTTGTCTGTGGCTCTCCCCAAAGTGCGGTCACCCCACACCCCAGGGCCTCTTCGAGAATCCCCACAGGCTGCATCACTCCTCAATTTTGGGCCAAGCCCACTTCTGGACGCACCTCTCCAGCCACAAAGAATAAAAGCGGAGCCTCCTCTTCTTTGGCTTTGTACTTGGCGATGATCTTCTCAGCAATTGGCTGGATCAGCTGCTTGGCTGCCTCAGACTCCCCATCATCCTCTGAATCTATGGTGGAAGAGGGAAGACACTGAGAAACAGTGACTTGTTAGGCAGAGGGAGGGACATCCCCTGGGTGAGCCTGCGTCCAGCCCTGAGCTGCAGAAACGTGGATCTGAGCAGCATGGACTGGAATGAGTTTCTCCCTGAGCACAGCCACTCCTGGGCGCACAAAAGTGTACACACTGGCACGGACGTGCACATGTGCACACACGCACACACACACAAGCAGAGCATGCTCACACTGCACCCTCCTGCACCACATCCACCGAGTAGCACTAACGTTTCTGCACTGAACTATCCACAGAGCCACCCTGGAGCTGAGTGTCACCTGAGTCGGCACCTAAGGTCCCACAGCTCTCAGTCACAGATAGGAGTCACTGCCTTCTAAGGAAAATGGCTGGAGAACTGGGGATCAGGAGTCAAGACTGGTGACCTGTTAGCCAGTTCACAGCTGGTAGCCAGACTTGGGAGGGCCCCTGAGTTCCCTGCAGGCACCTCTCCCCTCTAGCAAGAAGGCAGCATGGTCCTGAGGCTTCTTCCTGCTCAATCCTGTAACAGCTCAAGAGTGGCATCCTCAAATGATAAGAGCAGCGAGGGGACAGCAGGTTCCAGCAGAGGACTCTCACATCAAAATGCTTAAGAGTCACACAGGATATGAAAACTCAGTTTTAATTAGCTCTCTGATGCTGGGCAACTTGCTTTGCCTCTCTGGGACCTGGTTTCCACATTTGCAGGTGGACAGGGAGGTTCTTCATTGTCCTTGGTTTTGTCCCGGGATGTGAGGAGGTGAGCCCTGCAGAGGCAGCCAGCCCTATGGTGAAGGATTCCTTAAGCTTCTATCTCTCCTAAGCACAGAACAGCCTGCAAGTGAGTTTGTAGACGAGCTCTGTTGGGTTTATATATCAACCTCTATCTTGGGAGATCCCCCCAAAGTAGACTTCCAGAGAATGGGAGATAACTTTGGATATACTCCTTAGCTCTCCTCAGTGGAGTAGAAAATATGAACATCTCAAGTATGATTGGAAATAATTTTGAGCTAGAGTGTGACAAGTCCCAAGGCAGAGGGTAAGTTAGGTGGTTCCTTGGTGAGCAATTTCTAGAAGGAACCAGGGTCATCCCAGAGGTGCTACAGGGACCCTGGAGTGCATGTACCTGTGACTGGGAGCCAAGGCTGAGCATCACTCACCAAGCACTGGAGTAGGGAACTAGGCCAAGGTGGGGAAAGGCAGCTGGCCATGAGGATGGATAAGCCAGGGATGCACCTGGGGCCAAACAGCTGGAGCTGAGCCCAGAGGATTCAGAAACAGCTTAAGGTGAGCCTCAGACCTGGGGACCTGCCGCCTGTAGCTGTAATGCCCACCGGCCACCTGCTCCAACAATGGCCTGGCATCTGGAGGCTGAGGGCAACCTCCAGCCTGACCTATCCTTCCCAGCTGGCAGCCAGGAGCAGCCTGGAAGGAAAGCAGCTCCCCAGAACCTCCCACAGGGCAGGGCCATGAATAAATCATCAGGGTCAAAAGCAAGGCTGTCATGGAGAGAGACAAAGGCCTGGGCGCTGCATTGTTAGTGACAGAAAGCAGTTGTAGGGACAGACATCTCTCAAGTGAGGTCCATCTTCCTGTCCCCCACCCAGGGTCCATGAGCACCATACCTACAAAAAGGACGAGGCACGGGCCCTCGTTGAGCTGCACAGCGTTGGAGTCGGAGAGCTCCAGTACGGGCTTGGGGTGCCACGGGAACTCCCTGCAGTCCTCATCGTTCAGCACCTCCACTCGGCCCTGCCGTGTGATCACCTCTCCCTGCGGGTCCAGCACAATCAGCGTGGGGATGCCTGCGAGAGAGGGCTGAACTTGGTATCTGCCTGTGGACGAGCCAGGCCCAGCAGGAGGCAGCAGTGCCCACTCATGATCCACGGGACAGGGGACTAGGACATGACTCAGGGCCCAGGCCTGGAGTCGGAAAGCCCTGGTTTGGAATCCAAGCTTGGGAAGTGGGGTGCTGTCTCGCCTTGTGAGCCTCAGTATCCTCAGCTGCAAAATGGTGACTGCTCCGTAGTTCCTACTTTCATCCTCCCCTCAATGAAAAGATCAAATGAGATAATACCCTTGAAAAACTTGGTGTAAGATCCTGATACACAGAAGCAGTCAATAAACAGTAGCTGTTGTTACTGCAAGGAGCCCTGTTTGTGTAAACAGCCCAGTTAAGCACTTAACTAGTAATCAAAAGGTTGGCAGTTCTAATCCATCTGGTGACTCAGCAGCAGGAAGTCTTGGCAATCTGCTCTTGTCAAGATCACAAGCTAGGAAAGCCTCTGGGCCAGTTGTGCTCCATCACACGGGGCACTGTGGGTCAAAACCCCTGACTCAGTAGCACCTAACAAAAACGTTGCTGCAAGGATTCCTGCAGAAACACAAAGGAAACAGGAGACTCTTCCCCATTTACACTGTTAGCCCCCAACTCACAGTGACCCCACAACAACAGAATGGAATGCTGCCTGCTGCCCCAGCTCTGGCCCTGTGGTGGGCCCCACGGTAGCTGTGGATGGACCATCAGACCATTGTGATCGTGGGGTTTTCAACAGCTGGTTTTCAGCAGCAGATCACCAGAACTTTCTTCCTAGTTTGTCTCAGTTTGGAAACTCCACAGAAACCTGTTTTGCATCCTAGCAACACCTAACCCCCCAGGGACAGGCAGGTTGTGACCTGTAGTAGGTCACCTAATAGGGTAGTGAGAAAACACAAAGGGACATTCAGGAGTCTTTAATGGTTGTTAAACAAATCAGCCCCATCACTAGAGATGATCTGAGTCCTCACTACGCAGGATGCAGGAAAGGACGGCATGAAAGCCCTGTGAGGGAGCAGCTTGGGTCTGAGGTCATGGGAGGGGAAGAGGACAGGGTCTTCCTCTGAGCCCACCCCTGCGGCCTGGGAGGACCAGTACTCCTGCTGGGAGGGCAGAGTTCCCTCCTCCAAGTCTGCAGAGGAGCACATCTCAACACCACTTGCCGGCATGTGACAGAGTCCTCAGCTGGGACAAGAAATATGCAACAGAGCACCCCCATCAGCCACACCCCCTCAAACAAAAGCCTCAATTAAAAAAAAAAAAAAGAGCAACAATACTCCCAGCCTGGCTACCCTTGGGTTTTCCACATCCCACCCTGATCCTCTAGCCAGGGCTCAACCACATCAGTTTCAGGGTTACCCCCTTGCCAATCACAGAGCCTCAGGCTTGCCACTTGGGGACACTTGGCTCTCGGAGCAGTCTCCTTAGTCCCCTCACCCCCGACGCCCCATGGTTCTTCCAGGAGCTGCCTAGCACCTGAGTTTTATAGGGGCCAACGAAAGCCTGCATCATTTGATATTTATAGATTCCAAATCATTCCATTGGTAATTTGCTCCACTGACATTTCATTTCTCCGTAGGGGGGATGCTGCAGTACTACAAACACAGCTCTGGTGTCTGGTGACCTACGTGGCAGCCAGTACAGTGAGCCTGGGCATTGTGAGATTGTCTTGTAAAAGAGTGAACAATCCATTATGTTCACACCTATTAGGAGACAGGGCTTGAGGTGAACAGAGGAAAAAGGGTTCCCCAGTCCCGAGTTCCCACCCCATCACCCACTAACACAGGCAACTGAGAACAGGACCCCCGTAAGTTCTGTAGGTACTTCAAGTCGTATGCTAACAGCTGCATCTCATCCCCAGGGGACCACAAGCCCGCATCACACATGTCCCTATGACTTGGAACCTGGGATTCGGTCGCAGACTGAAGGCTATTGCCGGACTAGCCAGCTGGAGATGAGCCCCTCTGCGCTGTGCTGCCCTGATCTGAGAAATGCTTTGGCAGAGTTTAATCAGAGAGCTGGTGTGTTTCCGAAGCGGGGCAATTACAGCTGTTAAGTTAAACCAGAGCATGCCCACTGCTATGATTAGACACAGCAGCAGGCCTGCCTGGAGCCAGAGCCTTGGAGGCCAAGTCAGCCCACAGGGGGACAAGCAGGCACGAGAGTACAGAGAAGACAAAGGAAAACCTGAAGGCACAGAATCCCAGGTCTTGATTCAGGGCCTCAGTTTCTCTCACGGCCTAAGTGGCCATGACTGCAGCTTCAAGTCCACACCTGAGAGGACCCCTCACCCCCACTACAGAAGAGTCAGCAGCTGCGTCCACTGAGGAGCAGCTGCTCTCTAACTTTGGTCTTCCTCTCGGCCACTCGAGGGCAAGGCTTCTCACCACTGGGTGTGCTGTGCACCCAAACCCTGTGTCCACGAGCTCACGACAACAGGGTACACAGGGCCATGGGCCATGCAGGGTGTGTGACTGCGGGAGGAGTCCATGTCTGCTATGTAAGGCCCTCTCCCACCACCTGATCATGGGGAAGCGTGGCCCTGGAGCCCAAGGGCGTGCTTCTCTCCAGGGATGACCAGGGGGCCAGAGAAGGGGACCCACATCCACCATGGTGGCATCTCATTTAATCCTCACAACAAACGGCTATGGGACATAGGAATCTTCCCCTCAATTTACAGATGATGTCACTGAGGCACAGAGATGAAGTGACCTACCCAAGGTTTTCCCAGTGAGAAGGTGGTTGGCTGGGAGGAAGCCTCCGTCCAACTGTGGGAGAGGCTGTGTGGCTCATTCTGCTAGGCCACTGGGTTTTCCGGGAGGGCCTTGTTAACCAGGCCAAGAGAAAGCCCACATATCTGCTGCTTTTTGCACTGCTCAGCCGCTTCTTCTCGCCTCTTCATCACCTATTTCCTTCTCCCCACTGCCTTTTAAAAAAGTTTTCTAGAGACTTCGAATGGGATAAGAGGGCATAGCTGCTAATGGAGAACTGAAATGGATGGAAGATGTCTAAATAAAGGGTATGAGATATATACATACATACATACATACATATATACACATATATGGATGCTTTTATACAAAGTTGTTTCTACATTGGTAAGGAGCTTCTCTGGAGGAAATGAAAAAGGAGCAGTGCATCCCTGCTTGGCCTGAACTTGTTGGTTTTCTGAGCTGAAATGTTTAGGAGGAAAAGTAGAGTTAGAATTCTATGGAAGATCCAAGTAAGTCCCTGAATATCAGTTTCCAAATAGCTGTGAGACTGGGATAATAATGGTTTCCGATCTTGTTTGGGTTTTATAAGGAATAAACAAGGCATATAAGCCCTGAAAGAATCTCAAAGCTGGTGGCCTGAGATGACCCCAGTTTAACTGGGTTGCTTTTCTATGCCCAGGGAAGCAGAGTTTTAAAGGAGGTAAAGGGTTCGGTGCAGAGAGGTACAGGCCTTCCAGGCCCCAGGGGAAGAATGTCATAGCTCAGAGAGTCTTTCAAGATAAGACCGCAGAAGGATCTAAGGGGGGTGGTGTTGAGTACTGTCGAGATGGATCAGACCCATAGCTGACCCTCTGGCAGGTTAGTTAATCGCACAGGTGGAGACAGCCCATCATTCTCTCACTGAGCAGCTGGTGGATTTGAACCGAGTGCCACTGGGATTGCAGTGCAGCTTCTTATCACTAGGCCACCAGAGAGGGTGCTGGGAATAATTATGCAAGAGCTTGAGGAACTGGGAAGAGAAATGGGAAGAAAGTCATATTTTAGGAATGGAAGAGCAACAGAAATGAATATAAAGTGGTGGTCAGTACGGATATTGTAGTATCGTGGGAAATGTCTGCAAGTTGTTAAGGAGAAAATGCACATAAATATATAATGGTGGAAGAATACACATACATATAGAATATATAATAGAAGCATGGTAGTGCAGTGGTTAAGTACTTGGCTACTGACCAGAAGCCCAGGGCTCAGACCCACCCATCTTAGTGGGAGAAAGATGTATCTGCTTCTATAAAGCTTTGCAGCCTCAGAGACCACCCGGGAACTTCTACTCTGTTCCCTAAGGTCAGTCTGAGTCAGAACTGACCCTGCAGCATTAGGGTCTTGGGTTCATATACAATGATTACAACGGTGTACAAGTATGTATGCCTGTGGACAGAGACCAAAAGGGACTTAGAAAAGTGAAAACAGTTGTGCAAGGAAGCCAGGAATGTGGGGTGAGACAGACACATGTATATGTTTTCTTCAATGGTATTAGAGGACGTGTATTAATGTCAAACAAAGACGCAGGCACGCGCGGGAGGACAGCAGGGGTAGGGTGGGGATGACAAATAGGAACCGGGCCTTGGCCAAATCAACTGTTCTGGTTACAGGATCCCCCTCGTGGCTCACCCCAAACTGCCTTGCTTAGAGAGCTAGTGGAGGGAAGAATGGTTTGGGCGGTGAAGCGCAGAGAAAGGCACAGGAACAAAGCGGGGCCTGCCCTGCTCGAATGTGGCCGGGAAGCTGTGCAGGCTCCAGCATGTTTCCAGAGACGTGAAAGAACCATTATAGCAATGGCCTTGTGATACAGAAAAACCCCAAACCAGCCACATGCTCATCGACAGTGGGGCAGGTAAACAGTCATACAATAAAAAACCCTTCTGTGCTGAAAAACAAAGGCACTGGATGTCATTGTCAACAAAGGCAAATCGTGGCAACACAGCATTAAGAGGAGAGCAAGTTACAGAATGTGATTACAGCAGGTTAGCATTTAAGGACACATCTCAGAACCACTTAGAGCAATGCACTCTGTATTCCTGGGGAATTCATGCGCCTGCGGTCAAAATGTGAACGCAGGTTGTGAGACACATGCTAAATCCATACACAGTGGGAAGAGGGAGGAGGGAGGCACTGCAGAACCAACCGGACAGAGTCTCACCCTTGTCCACAGGCCCCCACTGGTTTATATTTCTAAAAAAACTGAAGTTAAAAAGTCCATCGTGGGTGGCAAATACAT